ACTCTGAGCACCATAAGAATAAATACCATAGTGGTATGTATAAGGGACTCAGTCATAATACATTAGTTAACAAATATTCTAGTCCAGACCCCAAAACCAGTGTATCTGCTTGTCCTCGGGAGAAATTCACACAAGTTCCTCCTTTAGTAGACTACCTTGCATCTAATACAGAATCAATGTTGCCTTCTGTGCCTACAAAATTACATGCAAGTAGAGTAACACCAATTTCTAGCTTCCAATAACTCCAGAAAAAGTCTAAAATTTTACATGTCTGATGTCAATTGACAACTATGGCTGAAAGCTATTTCTAAGGGACAGGGATATTAGAGTCCCTGTAAGATCAGAACAGCTAGTTAGTCCTCCTGTTTGTGTGACATGAAAGATAATTTGTGGGAAATAAACCCTGCTCTTAGATATTTATGTCCTGAATTATCATTGTAAGCCACAATTGAAGCCTTTAAAGTTTCTCCAGCAAAAGTTTCCTGGAATTTTTCAAACAATTCAGTTTAATTTAAGATAGAACTTTACCATCTTCAATGAACTTTTTGAAAAGGGAAGGAGTTATGTAATTTAATACTCAGAAACTGATGAGTGCTGTACTTCCAAGAAAATATAGCTCTTTTGATGAATCTGACAAGAAGTACCATGGTAAGAAATTGGTATCTGAAAATGTGGTTAGTGAAACAGAGTACAACTGTATTTCTTCCCCCAAAGAATGACATCTCCATCTGAAGCCTAGAAATGCGAGCTCTTCATGGAGAATATCTTTTTAAAGAGCACAACAATCAGGGTAAATGTCATCCTCATTAATCATCCTCTGATATAATAGAGTCAACTGTAAAAACTGTATTAAGTCTAATTTCCTGAGAAGGTGAAGGGAACCGTGAAACTTAAGCAACTGTAAGACCTAAATGTTAACTTCAGCAAGACTCTTTCCTCATGTTCCTCAGAGTGTTATTGGGGTTCCTGCAACTTCCTCATTTTATCTCCATCCCTCCTCCCCCTCCCCCACCACACATTCTGTGGAAGAACAAAAGCAAGGGGAAAATTGACAATGGTTCTTAAATGAAAAGTCCACTTTAGACTGAAAAGAGCAGTCCAAATATATTCTTTTTATCAAACAGGATTTGCTTTCCGTCTATCAAAAGCACTACAAATATTACTTAAAACATAACCTATGACAAGACCGGGTGTGGTGGCTCACCCCCATAATCAGCACTTGGGAGGCTGAGGCAGGCAGATCCCTGGAGACCACAAGCTCAAAACCAGCATGGGCAACATGGTGAAACCTGTCTCTACTAAAAATACAAAAATTAGCTGGGCGTGGTGGTGCACACCTGTAATCTCAGCTACTCCGAGGCTGAGGCAGGATAATTTCTCGAACCTGGGAGGCCAAGGTTGCAGTGAGCTGAGATCCTGCCACTGCACTGTAGCCTGGGTGACAGAGTTAGACTCTATCTCAAAAACTAATAATAATAATAACCCATGACAAATTGTTATTAGCATAATCCCTTCTGATTTTCACAGAAAAATATTCTAGTGCAACATATAAGGGTTTCAGAGAACTTGGAAATGAATCTTTAACTCACTGACAGTGTTTTTATAGACAAAATTACAAGTTTTATTTAAGATAATCATCTTAAATAGCAAGACAATTGAAACTGATAGATTACTGGCTTGATAATTTTAAGTGAAATGACTAGTGGGGTGGTGAATTTTATCTATCAACTTGACTAGTCTAAAGGATGTCCAGAAAGCTGGTAAAACATTATTTCAGGATGTATCTGTGTCTTTTTATTTATTTATTTATTTATTTATTTATTTATTTATTTATTTATTTGAGACGCAGTCTCCCTCTGTCGCCCAGGCTGGAGTGCAGTGGCACAATCTCGGCTTACTGCAACTTCTGCCTCCCGGGTTCACGCCATTCTCCTGCCTCAGCCTCCCGAGTAGCTGGGACTACAGGCAGCCGCCACCATGCATGGCTAATTTTTTGTATTTTTAGTAGAGACAGGGTTTCACCGTGTTAGCCAGGATGGTCTCGATCTCCTGACCTTGTGATCTCCTCAGCCTCCCAAAGTGCTGGGATTACAGGCGTGAGCCACCGCGCCCAGCCTTTGTGTCTACTTAAAGACAATATCATTTGAGTCAGTATACTGAAAAAAAAAAAAAAAAAAAAAAAAAAGATATGATGATATCCTAACCCCCATGGTGATTGTTTTAAGAAGTGGGGCTTTTCAGGAGGTGATTGGGTCATGAGAGCAAGGCCTTCATAATGAGATTAGTGCCCTTATACAGGTACAAGGGATCTTTTCAATCCCTTCCACCATGTGAGGACACAGCAAGAAGGTGCCATTCTATGAACCAAGCAGTGGGCCCTCACCAGACATCAAATCTGCCAGCATCTTGATGTTGGAATTTTCAGCCTCCAGAACTGTGAAAAATCGATTTCTGTTGTTTCTATGCCACCGAGTTCATGGTATTTTGTTGCAGAATCTCAAATAGACACTTAGTAAAGAAGATTCTCCCTCACCACTATGGGTGCACATCATCCAATCAGTTGGGGGCCTGAATAGAACAAAAGATGGAAGAAAGGCAGATTCTCTCTCTCTCCTTGAGCTGGAACATCCATATTCTCTTATCCTTGGACACTAGAATTCCTGGGTCTTGTGCCTTCAGACTCCAGGATTAGTACCAGTGGGGTCTCTGAGATTCTCAAGCCTTTAAGCTCAGACTAAATTACACCACTGGCTCTCCTTGTTCCCCAGATTGCAGATGGCAGATTGCTGGACCTCTCAGTCACCATAATAGGGTGAGCCAATGCCCATAATAAATTTTCTCTTATATGTATCTATAACCTATTTGTTCTGTTTTTCTGAAGAACTCTGACAAATACAAACAGCTACTGGTTATTTACTTAACATAAAATCAATTGAAATGCTAGCATGAAAGAGAATAACAGATTGAAAAATGAACAAAACAAAGGTGCACTTTTAAGACCCAAAACACACACATACACACACACACACACACACACTTCCAAGACCACCACCACCAACAGAAATCCTTATTATAGTGCAATCAATAAAAATCTCTAACAATCTCAATAAAATACATTTTTGTTTTGCACGCTTTTTCTGTAAAGGACCAGAAAGTAAATATTTTAGGTTTTCTGGGCAATACATTCTCTCACAATTAGTCAGCTCTGTACTATGGTGTGAAAGCAGCCATAGACAGTCAACCAGAAGGATGTAGCTATGTTTTAAAAATCTTTATTTGCAGCCGGGCTTGGTGGCTCACACCTGTAATCCCAGCAGTTTGGGAGGCCAAGGTGGGTGGATCACAAGGTCAAGAGATTAAGACCATCCTGGCAAACATGGTGAAACCACGCCTCTACTAAAAATACAAAAAATTAGCTGGGCGTGCTGGCATGCGCCTGTAGTCCCAGCTACTTGGGAGGCTGAGGCAGGAGGATTGCTTGAACCTGGGAGGCGGAGGTTGCAGTGAGCCAAGATTGTGCCACTCACTGCACTCCAGCCTGGCAACAGAGTGAGACTCCGTTTCAAAAAAAAAAAATCTTTATTTGCAAAAATAGGCAGCAGGCTGCATTTAGCCAGGAAACCAGTTTACCAATGCTTGACTTACACCAGTTCTACAGTACATGCAACGTGTCAGGCATGCAGTATGCACTTCCTAAAATTTGAATGAATAAATCATTACAATGTCAATAGGACTTTTGAATGCACACATACAAATATATTCATTTCAGCAGAGAAGAACTGTTTTATGTGGGAGAAGTAAATAATAGAATCTGACTTTTAGAACTGAAAGTGACCTGAGAAATATCTAAATATCAACTCACTAATTTCATGGATGAGGAAACCCACGACAATAGTATTCAAACGGCAGGCACTATGTTACATATACCTTTCTTTAAAATGAAAAAAAAATACATTTCAAAAAAATCCTAAATAACCAAACAAAAAATTCCAAAAATAAGACCTCTCTAGATTTAGTGATAAGGAATGAGATAAACATTATTGTAGGATTTTATTGTTTGTCACAGTATATGACAAGCAGCAATTTTAACATTTCACTAGTTTTTCTATTGCTCTGTCATAATTTTCCCATAAAACATGCTACTTAGAGAAATAACTTTTTCTAACAAAAATAAACTAAGTTCCTATCTATCAACATTGTGTGGAAAATTGTCAGGCATTGCAGAGAGAAATATAGGCTCAATTTTTGAGTAAGGTAAGAGCAACTAATATATTATGCATTTCCCCATTACATGACTTCTTTGATTATCAAACATACAACACTTTATCTACCCTGAATTTACCCTACTCTTTCTCTAAAGAAGGGCTGCATATAAAATAGAAGATTATACAGACATCTATATTTAAACACACACCAATGGAAGGGAAAGAGTTTGTATTTCTATTCAATAGCTACTAAGGAAAGCGTGAAACCTCAGTTTTGTATAAATGAAATATTAGGATAATTTTAATAATGTATACAAAAACAATACTATATTATCATCGCATTCGTGTACTGTATTTTAGGGAAGAACAGAGGATGCTCTAAGGAAATGGTTACTGGGGGAGGCATAAAGCATAGTCCAGTGTGGTTAACTACCATCAACTCGTGAATATCAAGTATTGGCTCTTCTTCCAAATAACTATCACTATTTTACAGTTCCTTCCTTAAAACATTCCTTGTTGTTACAATAAAAGATCGTGGAAAAAACACAGGAGCCAATTCACTAAAAAAAATAAAATAAAATAAGTACACCAAATAGAAAAGATACAAATATGACTAAGTAAAGGTTAAGAATACATGTAAACTTACATAATCTTGTTTACCTGAAAGAGAAGTTGCCCGTGAAGACAAAGCATCAGAATTTAATAGAAATAATAGCAGTTTGCCAATCAAGGTAAATTGTCTCGGGCCAAACACTTTTTCTTCCTATTCCTCCATTTTTTGGTTTCTGAAATGCAGGTTTGGATGAGATGTTCTGTAGGTTCCTTAGAGGTCTATAATTTTAAATATGTTTGTTTAAACGCTTCACATTTTCTAAATCATTTTGCAACTAAATTAAACATCAACTGAACCTCAGGGTAATATGAGATCATGCAATTAGGGGACATGAAGCCATTGACCGTTTCACATTTATCTTTCACGAGAAAAATGGCTTTTAACCAGAATAAAATTCAACAAGAACCTTTATATCACAAACTGAATGACAACTCAAAATAATATTTTAAAAGCTTTGAATAAATTAATCGTGTCTGGAGAACTTCCTAAGCTAATGCATAATGCTTCTTTTTGTAAGATAACACAAAATTTTTCTGTTTAATGATTCCAACAACAGGGCTGACTGCATGATAATTAAATGAAATACTATTAGTTTACCCAGATATTACATTGTCATTGTAAATTAGAATACAGGCAGCCCCCAATTTATAGTGGTTCAATTTACTATTTTTCAACTTTATAATGGTGCAAAAGTGATACACATTAAGTAGAAATCTTACTTTAAATACCATTTTTGATGTTTTCCTGGGATGATGAGATGTAGTATGATACTTATGATTCTGGGCAGTTGCAGTGATGCACGGTTCCCAATCAGTCATGCGATCATGAGGATAAACAACTGATATTCCACAGTATATTGAACTTCCAGCATTGTTTGGATATTGTGTTTTATGTTTTCGCATCCCATTATGTCTAAAAAAGGCCAATCTGTCTCCTGTGTCTAGTGAGAAGAAGGGGAAGGCAATTACTCTTGAGAGCTCAAAAATAATTGCTCAACAAGGTGGCAAGCCAGTAATAGCTGTTGCATGTGAGTTAGGACTTTCATAATCCACAATCTCAACCACCATAAAGTATAAGAAGTGAATCAGTGATGCAGTGAAATCATCAGCATCAGTTAAATGCACTGTCACCACCATTAAAAACCTGGGTCAGTTAATGATACGGAAAATTTACTTGTCATGTGGATGGAAGACAAGATACAGAAGCAAATACCACTTAGTCTACTGCCGGTCCAGGCTAAATCAATAAATCTTTTCAATACATTAAAAGAGCATGCTGATGATCCTGTCTACTTGCAAATGTTGATAGCAAGTCACGAATGGTTCTAAGGCTTTAAAAGGTATCAGAATTTTCATAATGTGAAGGTCAGTGGTAAGGAAGCAGATGTCAATAATGAAGGTACCAAAGTTTTTAAGGAAGAGTTGCATAGGATACTTGATAAGAAATATTTGCCAGAACAAATATTTGGTGTGAATAAAACAAGCTTGTTGTGGAAGCGTATGCCAGGACATATATATATTCATCAACAGCCCAAGACAATGCCAAGATTCGAGGCATCCAAAGACCATGCAATGATACTTTTGGTTGGAAATGTTGTAGGGTCAAATTAAAGCCTTTACTAATCTATCATTCTCAGAACCCTAGAGCATTCAAGAATGTAAGTGTATTCTTCCTATTTATTATTACCATAACAAGAAAGCCTGGATGGTATTAGCATTGCTTGAAGACTGGTTTTTGAACTGTTTATTCCACATGCAAGAGAATACTGTAGGCAAAACAATATCCCATTCAAGATTCTTCTGATCTTAGACAATGCACCAGAGTACCCACAGCACATTGGTGATATGCATCCTGATGTAACAAATGGTTATTTGCTGTCTAACATGACTCCACTCATTCAACCAGTGGACAAAGTCACAATACTGTATTCAGAGCGTACTATCTACACCAAATGTTTGCACAGGCTGCTCAAGTGACTAAATCTGGCCAAATTCAGATAGTTTTGGAAAGATTTTAACATTCCAAATACTATCTGGAACATTGTTGCAACATGGGAGGATGTCGCACAGCAATACATGAATGGTATTTGAAAGAAAATTTCGAAGATGTGTGAACACATTCAAAGGCTTTAACAAAGATTCTGCTGTTGATGAAATGGTAAGGAACGAGATTTTAGTGCTTGGGAAGTAGCTAGAATTGGACATTGATGAAGAGGCTATTCATGAGTTTGTTGGCATTGGTGCTGAGGGGCTGATCGAACTGGAGGAAGAAAGAAGTCAAGAAGTTAAGGCAGAGGAAGAAGTTATATCCAAGGCACCCAGAAAGTTCCCAGCAAAGAAACTGGTGGAGGTGTTTGCTACTGTTGGTAGTGGCATATGGACATTAGAAGAAATGGTTGTCAATTCCAAGAGACTCTCAAGAGCTGACAAGTACATACAGGATGTTCTTTCCTCCTATAAATACACATGTAATGAAAAGAAGAAGCAAGCTATGCAATCAAAACTTGACATCTTCCTGAAGAACACTATGCCTACTAAACTGTAAACATGTTGATGCCCCAGCGGCTTCCACCAGCTAGTCTCAAGCCTCATTGGAAGAGAGATAAATTGATGACCCTGATGCTGTAGCATCTCCATCATCTAGCAATCAATCTTGGTTCAATGCTTCATTCTTCAGGCCCAGTGTGCTTTCAGCTGTGTACATTAATGGTAAGTACTCATATAACCATTCTGTTTTTTCGCTTTCAGTATTTGATAAGTTACATGAAATAGTCAACACTTTATTATAAAATAGTTTTGTGTTAAATGAATTTGCCCAACTGTAGGCTAATGTTAAGTATTCTGAACACACTTGAGGTAGACTATGACGTTTGGTAGATTTAGGTGTATTAAATGCCTTTTCAGTTTATGATATTTTCAACTTACATTGGGTTTATTGTGATATAACCTCACTATAAATCAAAGAGCTTCTGTACTGTATTTGGACAGTATATCTCTAAAAATGTTTTATTGAGCAAAGTAGTTAAATTTTTTCCTGATAGAAAAGTTACTGCTCTTGTGCCTATGTACTTTTGGATAGACAGCTCTGAAAACCAACATGTATCTTCCAAAAGGTTCAATGCTAACAGAACTAGCACACATTTCTAATCCTCACCAATATCAATACAATCTAAAACTGTTTTCCTATTCCTTGTAAATTACTATTTTTAGATGGCTTTTTCACAATTTTATAATCCAGGGCAAAATTTCTTACCCATTCATTTTTCTCATTCATTTGTTCAAGAAATACACAGTCAGCATCAACTATGTGCCAGGTATATATAGTTTTCCGACATCTTCCAAAACATTCAGAAAACTACTTGGGGGAATAAAAAGCTTTTGGTTCAGCTAGAGCTAGATATTTAATCACATAACCGTTTGTTCTTCTCCAGTGATTTTTTTTCTTCTTTTTCCATTAGCTGTGCTTTCACCTAATGATAACTTTAACTTAATAACTTTAAAACATAGATGGAAAACTGTGCCTCCCTAAGGTGGTGAACCTAAATGCCTTACAGTACTGAGGACTCTCAATCCTCCGATATAGGGAGCTCTCATCTCACTGTTTCTAGCCTTTGAGCCAAGCCTCCCTGTTTTCTAATCCAAAATTCTTAATCTCAGTACTAGAATTCATAGTTCTAGAACCCATAGGTATTTATGCCCCTAAAACCTCATTGAAAAACATTCCACAGAGTATAGTATGCAATGGTAGAGAAGTGGACATCTGAAACGGCAAGGGTGGTAATACAAACTCATATTAGATGCATCTCTTTCTGGCACTATACCAAATTCTTTACATACAATATTTTATGTAATCTACAATTTCTCTGGCGAGAAGTTATAATCACTCCATTTTTAAAGTGAAAAAGTTGATGTTCAGAGAAAGTTCAGGACTCGCACAAATTAGTCAGACTCTGAGCCCTCTTCTGTTTCAGAGTATTAGAGAAACACAAATAGACCAGAAGAGAAAAAAAGTAAATCCCCAAAAAACGCACATGTATGCTCCTTCCTTCCCCAACCTATGTCCAATGAGTACAGGAATCCAGTTGCTTTTGCTGCTCACTGAACCCACCACACATAGCTGGGGATCTTGTAACAATTTCCTAGACATTGTTAAATAAATGATAATTCATTTACAGGCATATTATTCCTTGCCACCTTTATATATATTTTTTTTTTTTCTTGAGACAGGGCCTCACTCTGTTGCCCAGGTTGGCGTATAGTGGCATGATCTTGGCTTACTGCAGCCTTAACTTCCTAGGTTCAAATGACCCTCTCACCTCCAGAGTAGATGAGACTACAGGCGTGTACCACAACGCCCAACTAATTTTTTTGTATTTTTATAGAGATAGGATTTCTTCATATTGCCCATTATGGTTTCTAATTCCTGGGCTCAAGTGATCCACCTGCCTGGGCCTCTCTAAGAGCTGGGATTACAGGCATGCACTGCCATGCCTGGCCTATGTGGTGCTTTTTAATGTTAATCATGGATAAAAATAAGTAACACAAATATGAAAATATATATGGTATGAAAAATTGTACACATATCACAATAAAAATTGTTGAGCTTTATGAAAAGTAAATACAAGCTTAAATATTTTTAAATGAATATTAATTGGCTTTGGCTTCTACATTGCCAGAGAAGAATAATGTACAAATACACAAAGAAGCAAAAGGAATAAAGGGTTACTGTTAACTAGCTCAGATTTTATTCTTGGCTAATTTCACCAAAATCTTAAGCTAGTCAGAGTTATCACTTAGATGATCTTTCTGATTTAGAGTGGAACAAATTTGTTAGAAAAGGGGTGTTTATGATTCTCATTCTCTTAAAAATGAGAAATCCCTCCCCATGGTGTAGTGAGATAAAGAATATGTTTAAAAATAGAAATTTGTGCTTACTGAGGTTGAAGATAATTGTCATTTTCCAATGCAACTCTGAATTTTATTTTTAGTACTAGATAGAGCACGTTCAAAGTCCCAAACTTTCTAATTAATGTATGCAGGAATATTGATCTCTGAGCAAAAATAGGAACTGAAAAATGGACAACAGATATTTTGTCTTTCAAATCTAAATAAAACACCACAAAGTTGAAGTGTACATTAAGATCTCATTGCCTTTGGGAGGCCGAGACGGGCGGATCACGAGGTCAGGAGATCGAGACCATCCTGGCTAACCCAGTGAAACTCCGTCTCTACTAAAAAATACAAAAAAAAAAAACTAGCCGGGCGAAGTGGCGGGCGCCTGTGGTCCCAGCTACTCGGGAGGCTGAGGCAGGAGAATGGCGTGAACCCGGGAGGCGGAGCTTGCAGTGAGCTGAGATCCGGCCACCGCACTCCAGCCTGGGCGACAGAGCCAGACTCAGTCTCAAAAAAAAAAAAAAAAAAGATCTTATTGCACCACCAGGCACGGTGACTCCACGCCTGTAATCTCAGCATTTTGGGAGGCGTACGCGGGCAGATCACGAGGTCAGGAGATTGAGACCATCCTGGCTAATACAGTGAAACACATCTCTACTAAAAATACAAAAAAAATAGCCCGGTGTGGTGGCAGGTGCCTGTAGTCCCAGCGACTTGGGAGGCTGAGGCAGGAGAATGGCATGAACCCAGGAGGCGGAGGTTGCAGTGAGCCGAGATCGCGCCACTGCACTCCAGCCTGGGAGACAGAGCAAGACTCCATCTCAAAGAAAACAAAAAAAGATCTCATTGCCAAGAGTCAACAGTCTTAGAAGAGAGGTCATATGGCAAGCAGACATGAGTAAAGCAAAGAAAATAACTCCTCTTCCCAAATACTGAGCCGGTTAGCAGGGTTAGAGAATCAGAGGATTCCTGAATACTGACTAGACTAGAGAACTTCTGCGTGAGAAGTCCTCTGTGAAATAACAGGTGTGCAGGCTAGTTCTTCTTC